CACGCACGCACGCACGCACATGCACATACAGCATGAGAAGGTCATGAAGGACTTGATACTGTAGGAAGGGCTCTGGTATGTCGAGTTTTGTGTTTAATCAGGTGAGTCAGGAGGCCGAGCTTGCAATGCAGAGCCCGTAAACTCACCAAGCCTGCTTGGAAGCGGCTAGGTGTGTGCGAAGTGTGGAGAGACGGAATCGCACGCCCAGGTTACATTGGTTTCGAGGCGTTTGAAGAGATCATGATACAGCGCTACGCTGCACAAGATCCAATGGATGAAATCCGAAAAGCATTTGCCGCTTGAAAGCATCGGTTTCACCAACTTGCATGATGGTTTTGCAGGCAGTTCTGCAATGTGCTTCTTCAGGAGTTGCTTCTGCAGAACCAACGACACATGACGAAACACAAAGCAAATCTAAGCCCAGTCACTTTCAAACTTGTTCGGGAACCAAGCCGGGCTCTTGATTTCTGGCTCAAGCTATACACCTGTCATCGTGAGCAAGCACATTTCGGAGGTGCAGCCTGTATTGCTACAGACAGTCTTTGCATGTCTTGTGCATCATGCATGCAATCGATGGACTCGACAAAACCCCGACATGTGCGCCACGCACCTGCAGCTGTGCCGAGGAGCTCTTTGATGAAGATAGGCGTGGGAGGATATCGTTCAGGACGCCTTGGCTTTGCAAGCCGTGTGAATGTGCAATCTTGACGTTGATGCCGATCGCAGGAACTTGAAGCGCATCGCCCGGGAGCTGGGAGAGAAGTTGACCGACGAGGAACTTCGGGGCATGATCGATGCCTTCCGTCTGCAAGAAGGTCTCAGGCCGTTGACGGTTGCGGGTGGCCGGGTATTTTTCCCAGCGCGGAGTTGAGACGAAAGTGACTCACGCGAGTAAGGAGTTTGACTTGGATCAAGACGGATGCTTGACTGAAAATTAATTCGTCTTCTTTAGTTGGAAAAAGCTGCATTGTTTTTGTAATCGTGCAATTGCTGCAGAACGGCCAGCACCTCTCTTCTCGTTGCAGCTTCAGGGGACATCAATGAAGAGGAGTTCATCAGCATAATGAAGCAGACATCCCTGTACTAGAAGCGCCCAAAGGGGCGTTCGGGTTGTTTGGGAGATTACCGCCCTTCTCTCTCCCATAATCTGCATGAGAAGGAAGGCCAAGGGAAGGATGCTCGGGGGGCCGAGTGCGCAGGGAAAAGCCGAGCGCGGGCAGAAGAGCGGCCCTTTCCTTGAGGGTAGACAGCGCTCCTCCGATGCATTCGATGCCTTCCCGGCAGCTGCGCTGCTCAGAGACATTCCCTCGCATACCAAGCAAAACGATGCTGGAAGTGTCGCGAGATGTGTAAAGACTGTCTGGCACACAGGCAGGCTTTGGCAAGAAGCCTTTGACGGCATCAGCATACGTACTCTGCCAACAGAGACAGCAACATCATGCATACACTGCTGGCTAGAAGCTGCTTGAGCGTCCTGCTGCTCTGCCATGGCCAGGCCGTCGCCTTTCTTGGATGTATTTCGAGATCCCTAACAAATTGCCCAGGAACAGGCTGAACAAAGAATGGCAAGAAGTGAGAAGGACCTGGGAACTCTTGTCCTGTGTAGCATGGATGTCTGCTTGATCGTGTGTTTCTTTCCTGCAGAGCGCTGGGTGTTGAAGGCATCGAACGCTTCGACACGCGCAATCGTCGCTCATCGGCGAGTTGAAGTCTCGAAAATGTTCGCATAATTTTCATGTTCATTCGCAAACCTGTGTGTTGCCATTCCAGAAAATGTCGCCCATTGCCCTCCATAGATTCGGTTGCACCCTGCCAGAAAAATAGTTTTAAGTTTCTCGAGTTCTTCGCAATGTCCGCATTCTATATTTTCATTTCAAGGCCCTTGCTTTTAGCCGCACGGTTCAGATAGGCGCACGACATACACAGAAGGGGGTGAGTAGGCTGTCCAAACACAACGAGCTCGCGCAATACCAACATGTCGGCATGTTTCGCAGGTTGAGGCCGGACCATCGGCCTTTCTCAGAATTTCTTGTTTAACCGCTTCGGGAACGCTGTGAGCAGAAGCCGTGCACTTTGCTGGCGGAGGCAAGAGCCGACACTCTGTGGCCGGAGTCGTTCTGAAGCTTCGGAGTTGACATGGTGACATGATGTGTCAGAGTTTGGATGGATCGAGTCTGCTCTAAGTCAAACATCTAGAACAACGAAGCAGAGTCTCTACATCATGAGAGGCATAGATAGCGCAGTGCGATTCTAGCACAGGCTGCACATGCGCGATCAGTCCTTCAAGCTCTGGTGTGGACGATTTGCAGGAATCCCGACCCGGATATTTCTTTGGAGCTGTGGCAAGCTGAGTGCTTTCCACGAGTCGCTCATACTAGCGTCCGTCGAAATGCCTGAAGCGAGACTCCCAGGGCTGGCGACAGCTTCGAGCAGTGGCATGCGACCATAAAGGGTCCACAGGCTTCTGGTGGACGGTCGGCTCAAGGCTTTTTCGAGACACGCTCATTGCTCTGAGGATTCGCCCTATGAGGGTGGACAGTTCAAGCTGGACATCGTCTGTACGGCGAACTATCCGTATGCTGCACCTCAGGCGCACGGCGCACTGGCCTGTCTGTGCAGTGCTCCTTGACATCTGCTGCAGTTGGCGAGGTTCAGTCTCGTTGGTTTCCCCACCAAGGGACGTTGACTTGCTCAGATGTGCCAGCTGCTAGTTGGTTCCTTCAACCTTCCAAAGATCCAAAGTTGCTAGACATGGAAGCAGGTCTAACTGTCAAGCCAGTCAAGAAAAGCCCAATCTTTGCAGGTGAGCTTTGCGACCAAGATCTTCCATCCGAACGTTAATTACAACACCGGCGAGCCGCTGCCTTTGAGTCCTTGTTTCGAGCTGAGCCCGCGATGACACTTCGCGAGGCTTTGCCTGGACATATTGAAAACAGACTGGAGCCCGGCATGGACGTTGCAGCTGCTTGCCGAGTCAGAGTCTGTTGCATGGTGGACTTACATGTCCAAATGTGAATTTGCAACAGACAGCGTTTGCGCTGAGGTATGTCTGCCGGGCTGTCATTGCCCTGCTGTCTGCGCCCTGAGTTGCCCACGAGAGCACTGTTTCAGACCTTCTTACACTTTGGATACCTGGGATGCTGCAGGTATGCCGGTTTAGGCACATCGTATTGAGGGATCGTGCGATCTGAGGCGGGACCCAAACCCGGAGAGTCCTCTGAACTGCGATGCCGGCAATCTCTTGAGCAACACCTGCCTGCTTGGACAAAGCATGCTATGGGCATTCGGATCTCTGTTGTGCGTGCGACCAAATTCTGTCCACATCAGGAAACGGGGATCTGAGGGGATTTCGGTCGATGGCACGAATGCACGGGGCCGAGATCTTCGTATTATGTCTTGCAAGCTTCCATGAAGGCAGATCGTGTTCGCAAAATATCTCCTGCCAGGTATACAACTGAACATGCCATGGCCGTGGCTTGAGCGACCGGTCACACATTCGTTCACCACTCGTTTCACGCAAGCCAGACGGCGACCCGAGAAGGTGCAAAGCCCGAGTGCACTTTCGAAAGGGCCCCGAACTTTTGCATTGCTGTCACGGCGTGGCCCCTTTGCTGGGCACTGTTGGTTTGCCGACGGCCTCCTCTGCTGCCTTGGTGTTGTTGTTTGATGTTGTTTGCCACAGCCCCGTGTCTGGCATACAAGAGGGTGAGCCAAGTGATATGGTCGGTGGTTCGGTTTGGAGCTGAAGAGGTTTTTGTTGACGAGAAGTATCAGGTCCTACAGTATGGGTTTGGTTTGCCAGGGTCCAACCGCGAAGTCTGCTGACATTGCACGGCCATACGGTTCGGCCATACGCTACATTATGCTATTACTTGTCTTCGAAATTCGCTCCCGGCTGGTTTGTGGGACGACGGTAGGCGCCGTCTTGGCTCTTGCGCCTTTGCTCTTTACGGTGCATCGCCTCGGTGACTCTTTCAGACGCCAGCTGGTAAAACAGCACAAGCAAATCTACAAGTGGGGGAACTGCCAGGACAGGTTGATGCCATTTGATGCCACCGGCATCTCTAGTTGGCACGGTTTTGCTCAAACCTGCCCTTCTCGGGCAAACTAACTATCGGGCGTGTGGACGGTGTGGTTAGTGACGGTTAGTGGCAGATTTGATTGGGCACAGAAGTCCCTGCGGCAGGGACAACGTAGTTGCATGGGCTCAAGAAAATCCTAGTTCAGGGCAATGCCCTAAGCTTTTCGGAACTCCCGCAAAACCACCACTCTTCATGCGACAGTTCTTTCACTTCTCATCGTGCCGCGGCCCAATCCTAAACCGAAACTCAAGTCAGAACGAACTTCCCCTGAAAACACGCACCAAAGGTTGCGCAACATGATGCTTGTCCACCATTTTCTCTGGTGGGACGCACTGGGGGCCCCACATCTACAGAACTTTCTCACGTTTTAAAGTAAAAATCACTCTTGAAATAGAAGGGTGGTGAAACACTTGTAAATGCACGCAGCTCCAAACCAACTTGTACTGAATCCGTTTCCGCCATTCCATATACTAGATCTTTTTCCTTGCAAGCATTTTTGTAGCATTCGTTTGAAACCATGAGTAGAATTCACCATGTTGATACCAAATGATGATTAAGGAATATATGTATCTGCGTCACAAGAGCTTAGAGTATGGCCGCACTGAATCCAGAAGATATGGTCTCAGCATGCCGCCACATATGATCGATCAGAGGCACGTCTCTTACATGTGTGTGTGTGTGTACCGTATTTCATTTAACTGTGTGTAAGTTGAAAACCGCCCTGTTTATGGAACTTGTGAGCCAACATATAAGTAACTTTTATGCACATCAATTCCACAGTCTGGGCGAACCAAACTTCCAGCTGTTCAGTATTGCTGTTCGGGACCAGCTTGGCATCTTAACGTCGAGCTTGAATGTTGCGGGGGTGCATGCCTGTCACACAAACTACATTACCCTACCCATGTCTGCATCGCTTCTACATGACACCTTGTGGCTTCAATTCATCTTATCAACATAAGACTGCGATGGTATCTTCCGACTCCTGGTTTTACGAAGGAAGAGTGTCTCTATGTCTTCTCGTTTTGTCCATGAAACCCTTGTGTCATATCACTCGTTAAACTCAAGTATGGATCCTATTGTCAATCCCATACGATAAACAATCCAGAAGAATTGGGGTTCTCATAGAGACTTATTCCGACGAGCCCCGCTTTATTTGATTCACCGGATATCTAGGACTATTGCAGGTAGTCTCCTGACACTTAACTTCGTGTGTGGGCATGTCCCATTCGCTACCTATTACCTTGTCACATGGGTGTAGCATATCCCAGGTATGACCCCTTTTCCATGTCTATTCGTTTGGAGGATATACTGCACAAGACTCCTCCACCGCTCTGCAAAAGTGTGTAATGCATCCAGATCTGCACGCCTATTGTCTTGGATGAGGTCCCCCTTCAGCTCGAATAATGAACAAGAAAGACTCCTTCGTAAAGATATTCATTATAACTTTGTTAGATGGTCTTGCAAAGCCGCAGCATATGTTGTAAAACCCAATTTACCCTCAATGGGATCTGTCGAGTCCACAGGTCAAACTTTGCTGGTTCGCAGGGCTTCTAAAGCAATTTTGGTAATTCGTGAACAAATATCTCGATCGACATGTCTTCGACTTATATGATGAGGTTTGAAAGCCCGATACGAGACTGTTGCATTTCATGTGCTCTTTCTCCGTGGAAAAAACTGTCATGTTCAGATATGTTACCAAAATTATTGTGCTTTCATTTTCTTCGTTATAAGACTACATGACGTGGACGATGCCAGCAGCCGTAAGTGTGAATTTTGAGAAGCGACCTGGGCCAACCACAACCACACCTCTTATAAGACAGACGGAGTGCGAGCTTGTTACCTGCCAACATGCTGTATAAGTCCTGCCCTCCCCCCTACAGAGCACACATGGATGCATGTATACCACAGCATCAGCACCGGGCAAGTAATACACATATTCCCCAACCCTGTTTCCACATTTCTCATTGCCTTCCTGTATGTGATGTGAAGCATATGCACGCATAACAGTGATGCCATAACTTCAGGGCAGCATCACCGGACTTGTTCCTTGTTGTGTATTTCTGCTTGTATATCTGACAGATAGCTTATGGAAGCTTGTCTATCACCTTTTATCAGTTGCGACTCTTTGGCATCGGTGTTGGAACGGACATTTACTCCTGTGACCTTAAATGTTGTTAGATCGAAATATTGCACATACAACATATTCGGGACTGTTGTTTCGCATTTGGTACAGCGGAAGGTTTTAGTTTTGTAGCATGCCGTTCGAGACGTGAGTACGAACATCATTGTCTATATCAGTTATATCCGTTTTGTTGGCTTCCTTCACCTATGCTTTTTGACTTGCCATGCATGATGACGATGCTGGATTGCGATCTTACAAATGTCATATGTAGTAGTGATGCATTCGGGAAGCGAA